AAGAGGTTAAAAAACCATCCACCTGGTGGAAAGATGGATAGTTTCCCTAACCTATGTTTCCAGCTTGCTGGCTGCCTCGCGCCTTCTCCAGCTCTGGGAATTGTTCCTTCTCTGCGGATCCTCTGACCCAAGCAAATCTCAAGGCAAGTCCCCTGCTCCTGTCTCATCTGATTTTTCACCGGCAAAGTGAGGGGGTTGGACCAAGTCATCTGTTAGGCCCCATCTACTCTAAAATTTGGAGATTCTGACACTGTGACAGTCTTGTAGCCCCCAAGGGACTAGATTTCTTCCTTCCATTGGTCACATATTTTCCAGCAGCCTGAGTTAGACCCTTACATATGATGTGGCCCATGGATGATTCTAGTAAATAACGATACCGCACAGACCTTAAAACTTGTAAAATGATTTTTACGTAGAGTAAGAAACCCCTTGAGGAGAGAGAGGGTGTTATCCTCCTCATTTTGTACAGACAGGAAGCTGTGCTGAGGGAGGTAAGGTCACAACTGTCAAGGTGAAAAGGATTCCCCCGACTGGGGCCAGATCTGAAAAGAAAAACAAAAAAACCTCCAAATGCAAGTTTCTTAGACCAGATGAAGCACACATACTCAATAAAAAAAAAACGTGTGATGAGTGTCAGTATCAGAGACGGGAGCAGCGAACATTCTGGAAATCTGCCTCAAAGTTCAGCCAGTTAGAGCCCCCAGTGCAAACTGTTTGTGTGAAGAGACAAAACTCCAAAAGTAGAGCAGAGGAGTTGGAACTGGTTTTCACTTCCAGGACAAAGACCCTTAGCCTGACTCTAGGGGACAAAGGTTGTTCTTCACTCCTCATGCAGGGCTCTGAAAGGGGCAAACTGTGAGGGATGTGCGGAATTCATCTCTGGTAACTAGGGGAAGGGTACCAGTTCAAGCCAGGGACCCTGTGGAGGACTGGTGGGAAGTGATGACTTGGGGTGACACACTCTGGGCCCTGAGAACCAACTCTGTGCCATGACTCTTGCTTACAGCCCATACTCTCTTTTATCTCAGCTTTGAAGGAATCCTGTGGTGAGTTAGGGAGCCTGTAAAAATCACAAAGGTAGAGTGAGACAGATGGGGTCTGCAACACTGAAGGGGTTAGTTAAAACAACACACACACACACACACACACACACACACAGAAGGTACACCTTCCTCCGTGGTGTATAATTAAGAACTGCGATGCCTGGGGGTGGAGGTCTTCCCATCTAAGTGCAGGGCCTGCTGGAGCAAAGGAAGGACTAGAACAAACAGAAGCAAAAAAAGAAAAAAAAAAGGATAACAGCGTCACCGACAACGTGGGAGTGAGCAGTGAGCAGAGTGACAAGCCCCAAACATACACCCGGGCCGGCCGCTCTCACCAGGAGGGACAGCAGGGCAGCGGGCCACATGAGCTGCTGCAGCAGAACAGACGGTCAATGAAAGTTCCTGAGCTGCTCTGGGATCAGGAAAAGGTGGAGACAAGAAAGAATATAAACAGAGGAAGGTGGAGAGGGGGTGCAAGTAGAGGTTGACCTCCGGGAGCGCTTATCAAACCAAAAGCCTGGTCAATATGATTGTTTTGCATCTTGCATTAGTGAACCTTCATTACAGACAAACTCTGGGTCTACAAACCCAAGAAGGTGAAATTTCCAGGAACCTATGTAAGTCCTGCACACAGATTCTAAAAATCAGCTGAACTGAATAGGATTGATGGGGTACGAATAAGACGTGACAGGGTAAGAAAGAGTTAGCTTAGGGGTTTTGGCGACCAGAAACTCAGCAGGTGCTAACAGTTTGGCTGCTAAAAAAAAACCCTATGAACCTCAGTTTTGATGAAAACACATGTCCGGACCACTGGGCTTTTATGGGTAGTACAGTTGGCCTTCGGTATCCATGGGGGATTGACTCCAGGACCCCCTGCAGATACCAGAATCTGTGGATGCTCAGGTCCCTCAGATGAAAATGGTGCAGTCCAGTCAGCCTCCGTATCTGCAGGCCCCACACCCACAGGAGTGGGCCCACGGGATTCACATAGGCTGTTGGTGTTGCTTCTGAAGGTGAACAACCCCATCTCACGCTTGTCTACAGAGGCACAAACAAGATGGTAAGGAGTCCAGAAACCACATTCCCACAGGGGGCAGCTGGAACAAGGAAACTTGGTGGGATCCGGAAGTCATCTTTAATTTCTGAGTAAGAAACCTTGAAAAAAGAATCAGACTCATGTGGCATTATGAGATATAACCAAAACCAAAGATTAGAAGGCCCATTTTGGCTCAGTGTAAAGCAGAACTTACTCCAATAGAATTGTTCAAAGGTAGAAGATGCTGCGTTTAGAAGTGGAAAAATCCCCAGCCCTGGTAGTGGATTTCAAGCTGAGGCTAGATGATCTTCTGTCCAGGATCCGAGAGAAATGACTCATGCCTTAGGTAGAAGCTTGGACTAAATGAACGACCTCTGAGACGCTCTCCAGCTCTTAGACACCAGGTTAGGATTCTTTGTCTTGGAAACCAACCACACAGTTCTGGAGACAAAACCCCAAAGGGACCTGATTCCTCCATGGACCTGTGGGGCGCAGAGGCCTGCCATAGCTTCTTTCTTTCTCAGAACGCTTCTTCTCAGTAAATGATGGAGCTCCAACTTAGAACCTACAGATGGGGAATATATTTTGTTGAGGGGAGGGTATAGCTCAGTGGTGGAGCCCATGCTTCGCATGCACGAGGTCCTGGGTTTTGATTCCCAGTACCTCCATTAAACAAAAATAAAATAATAATAATAAATAAATCTAATTACCTCCCTCCCCCAAACAACAACAACAACAACAAATGTATTTTTGTGAAGCAAACAGGGGTTTGTCTTCCTCGTGCCCCCTAAATGCAAGCAATCAAATTTGTTTTGCCTAAGTTTCTAAAGAATGTCTCAGCTCTTGCTTCTTCTCCACCTCCAGTAACACTGCCTTAGTTCAAGCCACCATCATCTCAACCCCAGGACTTTTTCAAAGGCCTCCTAAGTAGACTCCTTACCTCCACTTTTATCTTCTTCAATATACCCTCTGCAGAGCAAGCGGAGTAGTTTTCAGAACTCTGCTTCTGTTTGGAATAGCTCCCCACTGACCACGTGGGAGTTCTCAATGTTGCTTGGTAAGCCGGCAGACTCATGTTCTGTCACTCCCACACATGCCACCACCCCCTCCACACCACACCAAACACACAAGTACACACACACACGCACATATTTTCTGCTTCAACAATATCAAATTATGTGTCATTTTCCGTGCACACTATGCTGTTATACAGCTCTGTGCTGTGCATGCTGTTCCCTCTATGTGAAATGCCTTCATCCTATCCAGTCCCTACCTCACCCACCATAATAGCTCATGTTTATACTTCTTCATACGTTAAAGCGTTGCTTGGGCAGAACCTTTAAGAAGCCTTATTTGACTTCCTCCCCAACTCACACCATCTCCCAAAGTTAATCTTTCCTTCCTATTTGCTACCCCGTACCTTTGTATGTGGTTCTATGGCAGCATTTATTACACTGTACTGAGATACAATTATTTATGTGTCTGTCTTCTCCACTGCTCTTGAACTCCTCAAAGGCAGAACCAAGTAATATTCATCTACAAACCCCGAGAACTTAGCACAGTGCTTAGAGCGCTTAGCACATGGTACAGGACTGTATTTGCTGAACTGATCTGACAAAGGGATCTTCATGAACACATCTACCATTTGCTATAATATCAGACTTTGTGTTATAATACACATGGACACCAAACTCTGCAATGAAAAACAAAGTTACACTATTGAAATTTCCCAGCAATTTTAAGTTAAATAAAAACGACCCAGGGCTAAGAGCAAAGTCTTGGAAAGGAAGTCAGGCAAATTCTAACCTATGAATTTCTGCTCCCCCTATTAAAAGCTTTTGTCTTGAGAAGATTTAATCAGGAAGCTGGTCCCAAAGAACACTGGGGGTTTTGACCTGGCTTTTAAAAGATCACTCCGTTTGCTATGCTGAGGATAGGCTTAGGGGGCAAGGACTTAAGTTTGGAAACTACTGCAGCAATCCAGGTGAGAAACGACTGAGGCTTGGAACAGGATGGCAACAGTGGAGTGCTGAGGAGAGGTTGGTTTCTAGATGTGTCTTTAAGTAGAGATGGCAGGATTTGTTGATGGAATTGATACAAGGCATGAGAAAGAGAGAGAGAGTGGAGTTAGGGGTGACTTCATGGTTTTTGACCTGAGCAAATGAGTGGATAGATCTGCCATTTATTGAGACAGAAGACTTTGAAAGACACAGTTTTGCAGGGAGGGGGATGGGAAGAAGAGATCAAGGGTCTAACTTTGCTTGTGTTAAATTCAAGATGCCTACTAGATATCCAACTGGAGGTGTAAAGCAGCTCGTTAAGGGGAGAGAGTCCAGCTGGAGTTATGCATTTGGGAGTAGCCACCCTATAGGCGATATTTAAAGTCATGAACCCTGAGGAAATCAACAGAGTATAAACAGAAGAGGAAAAAAGACTAAGGACTAAGTTCTAGGACACCCCAACATTTAGAGATGAGAGAGACGAGAACTTTAGACGGCGTGGTGAAGGAGAAAGACCAGGGCAGCAAAGTATCCTGCAAGGCTAGTGAAGAGGCAGAGAAATTTATATGCCTTGTGAATAGTGCTGATGGGTCAAATAAAAAGAAAACCAGGAACTGATCACTGCATCTAACAACATAAACACAAGGAAAGTATAGTATTGAAAAAAGAATAGTATGGATCCATTTAAGACTCCTCACAACGGTATAGGATAGGAATTACTATTATTCCCCAGAGATGGAAACTGAGAGGCACAGGAAGACGAAATAACTTGCCCAGGGTTACACAGCAAGAGAGGGGCAGAGCTGGCATTTGAACCCAGGTGGTGTAGCTCTGGAACACATCCTCCCTGGGGAAACAAGGAAACTAGGAGAGAGACCTTTTATGAGATGTGGACTACATGGTAAAGACCTTAAGGTGTTGCTTTTAACGTAGGATTACACTGAAGCTCTATTTCTGATCCTGCTCCTTGACTTTCATCTGTTCTTTGGTCTAAGTCAAAAAAAAAAAAATGGGGGGCCACTGATTGACTTTAAAAGTGCACACCTGTGGAAGCTTTATGGATGCTTATTTAATAACCATGATCAGCCTGGTTAGCTCAATTGGTTAAGCCACAGTGCTGACACCAGGGCATTCCCTGGCGTGAACCAGGTTTCCCAGAACAACCATGTCTTGCGGACATGGGCTAATCCTTTGCCCTTGACAAATACCTTGTGTGCAGGTTCAGGGTGGTGTTGCTTCTCCTGGGATGATAAATTTAGTGTGTGTTCTGTTGCCAAGGTATCAGTAGTACCCCTTTCCTGTTCAAAAGAACATGTTATTTTCTATTTTAGTGCTGAGGAGAGGGATAGTTTACTGCGCCCACATCCTCACAAGATGATCACACACTCAGTGGCTCAGGTGTGTAAACTAATAAGACTGTATTTTGGATAGTAAAGAACTACTCTTTATTAAAATGAGATAGACTACCTTCTGGAGCCAATTAGATGGAGACCAAACCTGAAGAAAGCATTAGCAAGGATCAGAGCCCCACTACTCAGGGATATCTTTGAATAATTCTGGGGAAAGGAAGTGTTAACTGACTGTTTTATTTAACTTTTTAAATCAACTCTACCTTTTGAGGGAGCACTACCTAGTTAGTGATCCGACCCTGGTTGAGAAAAACCTCCAGGTGTCAATCATAATTTAAACTTCCAAGACCTCACCCAGCAAATTCATTCCTCAGGTTATCCTGTCCTGGCATCTGCCCTGTTTATTAGACCTAGTGGCCAAACTCATTCTTCCCTCATGAATTTATTGCATCTACATTTTTGGAAGTAATGAAACATGTATAACCAACTTTATATTTGATGTAATTGTGGGTGGTCACTTTAACTTTCATTCCCCATGCTGACTCGCTAACTTGGATAGAGTATTTTGACCACGTGGCAGTCTTTGTCAAGCTAGTTACATCTGAGGGTATGCTGATCAGCCTCTGAAATCCCCAGGCAAATATGTAACTAGAAAGTCCTTTTCTCATCTCCCTTAAATCTCAAATTTCCCTCAGTTCCCACAGTTAAAATAACGTTATTTTTGTTGTAATCGAAGTATGAGATGTCTAGGTATGGGTAGGGTATAGCTCAGTGGTAGAGCATATGCGTAGCATGCGTGAGGTCCTGGGTTCAATGCCCAGTACCTCCATTTCTTAAAAATTTTTTTCTTTAAGTATAAGACATCTTACAATTTGTGGGCCACACCACTAGTGGCATTATTCGATTTTGCTTTCTTTCCAAGTCATATTCAAGGCTTGCCTCATTGTCACCATCTATGATAAAGGATGACTAGCAACAGATAGAAATGTGAATCCAGGCACTAGAGATGCTATGTAGACACAGAAAAAAAGAAGCTTTAGGATCTGGCTATCTTATACCTACCATAAAGCCATAGTCAAGTCAGGTTCGATCAAGGCCATACCCACATTCTCCGGCTCTATGTAGATGCACCCACGTGCCATTTTGCCCATTTTGCCCTGCCAAAATAACTCTTGCTGGGTAATTCTCACTGTCTCACTAGGCCAAGCACCTGATTGTCAGAGGAAAACAAAACCAAAACAAACAAAAACTATCAATGCAAAATTTAAGTATACACACTTTTTTCCATATTTATTTTTAACAAGCATGGATGGGGGCAAGATGGAACAAAACACAAACAAAAAAAAATGGTCTTAATGATGTACCTACAACTTAAGTTTTCCAGACAAAGCCAAGCCTGGTTGGTTCTTATAAACCAGACAGAAAATTTGAGCAGCAAAAGAAGGGCTCTAATCAGAAGATTGTGAACATAAGACTAAGTTTCCCACTGACTAGGCTCTTTATTTAGGTAAAAAGGCTTAGAAGAGCTGATGGAGCTTTTCAAAATAATATCTTACAAGCATTCTGCTCCCTTTTAAAAACCACATCTAGCCCTTGAATGGGATGAGCAAACAGACTGGGTGGTGTTAAGTCTGTCCATGGTTGGCAGGAAATATGATGCATTTAGCCATATCCACCACCACAAAGGCTGGTTCCCCCACAAACCTCCCCAGCAGTACACGGATGAAAATGCGGATATTTTTTTTTTGCAGCAGCAGCAGAGACGCTGATACATAATCCTATTACTATCCTCAGCACCTATTAAATATGATTGAAACAACGCCCATTGGAAGTCTTAAAACCTTAACCACCAGTTTTACTTCTAAAATAAAGTAAACTGCCAAAAGTTCTGATAAAAGTGACAATTTATATTTTTAAGTAGTACAACTGGAATTTTCCTATAGCTGTAGACAAAGGAATTCTCACTCAGATAAGTAGAAGAGCACCAATAAATTTAAGGTAGCTTATGCAAGTTAGGCACTAATGAATGTCATCTTCTGTTTTGTCATGAAAAAAGATCTTTCTGCTGCTAAAGGAGACTGATTTAGATTATGAATAGCTGTAGTGATTTGCAAAAATGGCTCCAGAGAGATAGAATGAGACTCCATATACTCATGGCACTTGAGGTTTCTGCCCTTTTTGTTGAAAATTAATTTGTCCTGTGGGTTATTGGATTCTAGCTCAGCCAATGTATATTGCTCAGTCATCACAAATTTACTTAAAATTTAGTGTAGCTGAAGTTCATTCAACAAGACAAAAGTCTACAGTTGAAAGCTTCTAAAAATCTTTTTTAAAAACTGGCTAACGGTGTAATGGAAAGTGCTGGTGTCTAACTAGATTCACATAATGTTTTGCAGGTATCAATATATGCTATATGACTATGTTAGAAATAGATTTTTCTCTTGTTTCCCAAGAAAAAGCAGATAGGGAGGATTTATCATCCCTTGGTAAGAGGACATTTTGCTTGAAGTTTCCATATTCTGAAAAAATATAAATCCCTAAATTCAGATTAGATTCTATAATATGTACCTTATACTTTGTTCATTCATATAATTTATGTAATTTCAAAACAAATGTTTTTAAGAGCAAATAGATTATACAACCCCTAATGCTTCCAAATCCCAAATATATTACACTAGAAAAAAATTTTAAGTACATAAATTCTGTTTCCGCATTTCAGGACTCTTACCTTAGGTCACTCACCTCCTACTTGGGACTGTCCAGCATGGAGGCTCATAGACGGGGAGAGTCAGAGCAAAGAGAGTCATATTTCAGACAGAGAGTCAGGACACAAATCACTTGCTTTTGACAAAAGGAACTCTAGTGTCGTGGCCATGCTCCTTTACCCAACAATAGTGAGAGGGAAAGAGAAGGGAGTATTCTTCAAAAAGGGGCTCTTGTGAGAAGATACAAAGGAGGCCAAAAAAAAAAAAAGAATGAGCAGCTAATTGTGGGAAAGAGAGCAGTTTTTAATTAATCATTCCCTTAAAGTGATTTCTATACTATTTTTCATTTTTACACATTTAAATATGTATATTTAATACATTAAACATGTTTAAATGTGTGCTTGACAGTCTTTTTTCCCTTTGAAAACCTAGATGACTATCAAAACTTATTTAATAGCTAAAATCATGCTAAAGAACCTCAACTGTGATTAGGGCCATTGGGGTAGCTCCTAATTAAATTGATTCACAGGAGGCCACAAGCGTTATTTGTTCATTTCATTTATAGCTGAAAGACTACTAGATAATAAGACTGTTTTCTATGGAAATATTATATTACAAACTAATTAAGAGCTAAACCAAAATGGTAAGAACATTAGGATGCACCACCTTATTAAGAAAAGAAAGCAAATGGTATTGGGGAGGGGATCTAAATCATAGTTTTGGACTTTTTTTGTTATATTCCTCGCACTAAGATTACAACTGAACTGCACAACTGATAAAGTTCAAACTCTGAAGCGATCAGCTCTTTGCTTAGGGTACAATTGCACAAAATGAGATACAGAGTGCTAACCAAATCATGACACAGTGGACTGGAAATTTTAGATTAATAAACCTCTTCCCGTGGAGAACTAAATAACTTTTACAGTTTTATCTATGGTTATTTGTTTCTCTGAAGATTTATGGTCCTCGCAACAGATATACATCTTATCTTTCACTTTACAGATTAAAGAAAGATGATTTTAAACAGGCTTCTGACTGGCATAATCTGGAATTGCAGATGATCTCAATTTCTTAAAAAATGCTAAAAGTGAACTTGCAAGTCAAATGAAAATGACTTTGCGCATGTCAGGTGCATAGGGGAAAAAATCTGCATACAGCTAAAGAAGGTTGACCTTCCGTTACCAATACCAATTCCCTCGCCCTACCCCGAATCAGCCAGGTGCAATCTGTACATGCTTAACCAGGAATTAAAACACTTCGTGCTGCTGCTGCTTTAATTGATTGATGCTAAAAGTTTAGAAAATAAAACCTAACCAGCTATTACAAAGCGCCTTTAAGCAAGCCTTCTCCTTTGAAAGCAGGATGCTCAATTGAAACTGGCAGACCACATTTTTAGGTTTCAAGCAGCTCTGTCATTCTACAAGGAATGTGTCTGCCACTTCACACGATACCTCGAGTTGAAAGACATGTACTTTGAATCAGAGAATCAATAGAACACTTAATGGACAATTAGGAGAACAGCTGTAGGACTGTCAGAGACCCATCTGTACACAGCTCAAACAGCAAGCCCGGACAGGGCCCGGAAAACAAAGTACACTGCTCCAGGGCACTGGCCCCAGCACAAAACCTCCCTTTCATTTCTCATTTAATGTTAATATAGTGTTCTTTTTCATTACAAATTTTAACACGTGTAGAAAATTATGGAAATTGCTTAAGCCATTTGTCAACTTATATCATGTGAATTGATCAATAAATTTCACTACTTTGTTGTTAATGTAGATAAATTTTGGCATTTAATTAAGCTCCAGCGAAAATGTGGCCACTTTTAATTTCAGCAGATGCTGTCATTTCATTTGTAATACATAACGACGGGGGTAAATACAACCCAATCATGAATTATCACTAAATATGTATAGACAACATAGCAATTCGGGAAATAGACACGAAAGAGTTTTACCGTGAAACGATTACTATGAGCAAAATCTGAAATAGGTGGTGAGGAACTCTAATAGGAGCTGTGAACAGAATTTTAATACAGCAGCTCTGCCAAAGAGTTACATATGTATATTTTCCCCTCATGATTCTGCCTCCATAGAATACATCTCTATTAGGCAGAAATAATTTCAAATTCTTTTCACAGAATTGTTCCAAATGTTAAAAGAGAGTTTCCTAAGTTTGTGGGAGCCTATGAAAATGTATAAATTAAGATAAAAACCCATTCCTTTATATTTCTTTTTACTGAATTGATTCAGATACAATTGGGAGCCTTCTCTTAATGGATGAGAGGGAAATCTGACAGCACTCATATCACACGCACACAGGACTTGGATTTGGAATATAAGGTTGGTCAAGAGGACACTGGGGTGGGAAAAGGAGACAAGATTCTAGACAACGGGAGAAGGAGAATGAACTTTTTAGGCTTCCTCCATATGACCCGAGGGGCCTCAGTATGAAATCCTCCTCCTGACAGCCAGAAGCCCCATAGCCTTACCCCTCTGTGGCATAGTCTGACATGATAAACTGCTGTATCTCATTTGAGGGAGAAGAGGCTGCCTCCTGGTGATTCTGCTGGTGCCTTCAGGGAAAAGGGGACTCAAAATCACATTGCTGTCTTTACAGTGAAACCCACTCCAGAACGCCCATTCCCACCATTGTCTACCTGCTTCAGTAAGAGGGCCTGGCTGGCTGTGCAGCCACTGCATTTTCAGCAGAAAAACCAACCTGAGCTCTTGTGTGTAGCGCCTTTGTAAGTACTAAAAAGTAAATAAATAAAGTTTAGGGAAATCAAAGCTGATCCCTCATTCCGATTTTTACGATGTCTCCATGTCAAGTTGGCCATCGTTACTGAGGCGGTTTGGCACTTCTCGTTGTTCTGGCAGAGGAGTACCTGGTCAGAGAAGATGCTCTCTAAATTCAGACTCTATTAGAGAAATGAGAATTCAGCAGCCAAAGGGAAAATGGATTGGGTCTTCTTGCTGAACCAAATTACACACCTAAATTCCCAGCCAAAATCCTCTCCCTGGCTCACTCTCACATGCTCATATTTCGTTTTATTCCACAACTTAAATATCCTGGGACTTGAGGCCTTGTTTTTATACCACCTAGAGAATAGAAGGGGCTGGAGAATTCACCTCCACTCCCATTTGGATAATTAGGGATCTTTCTGTAATCTCTGAAATGTAGGATTTCACAAAGTCCTACTCGTAGCATTTTCCTGAGTTATGTGTGAATTTCTTTGTCTTTGGGGGAAACCGAGGAAAGATACAGGTTATTGCACAGGCTAAGGAAATACTGGCATTTCTTGAATATTTGATATGGACATTAAAATGGTAAGAAAGTTAAGGTGTAAAATGGTTGAGAAACAAAAATTGAGATTCTAAAAAACTGAGATTACAGTGGATTAAAGATGGCCACAAAATTATTTGCCATTCTCTCATCAGTAAATGGAGTCTATTTCCTCTGCCCGTGAATCTGGGCTGGCCTTTTGAGTTGCTTTTGCTCAACAGAATTTAGCAGAAGTGACACTGGGCAAGATCACTGCACAGGCCTTGAGAAGGTCTGGAAGCTACTGCTTTTTGCACTCTCTTAGGAGGCAGCTGCCTTGGCCTAAAAAAATCCAGGCTAGACTACCGAGTGATAAAGAGTTACCTGGAGAGTGGTCTTGGAAGATAAGAGACCATCTTGGATGTTCCAAGACAGACTCCCAGCTGAAAGCAGCTGCATGACTGACTGCAGCTTGACCAAGAGGAACAGAAGAACCTTGCAGCTGAGCTCAGCCAACCCACAGAATCATCAGGAATAACAAATCCTTCATAGGGAAGCCATGGCATTGTCAGGTGATAGGTTACATGTCAGTAGATAGCCAGAACAGATTCTGTAATAAAAAGTTCCACTCTTTTTCTTCTCATATCTAATCCTCCTTTTGAAGTTATGCCAACTGGCAGTCATCACCTGTTTTCCTATGCCTCTTGCAGAACTGATTCCATAACAACAAAACAAAAAGCCGAGATATGAATTGGGAGGGATGGGCTGAATTCTTTTTTAAAAGGAGGGCAGACTCATTCCCTCTGCTGTTAGTCTTCTATTTTCTCTCTTTATGGTTTCACTCACTATCCCAAGTCTACATCAATGCTCAAATTAGACACCAAAGGAAAGAACTCTATCCCTTGTCAGGACTCTGGTCTTGAAAGTCAACTGAAGGACCCAATTTACTTGGGTAAATGACATCAGTATATGTTCTGCTATTTATAGTATAGTTGCCAAACATTAACTCGTTAAAATGAATTTTTTCTCAGCTGAAAAACAATCACAGCTGTGTCTTACGGAGCTGTGTAACTTGGGCAAGTAATTTTACCTTTTGGGGCCTCAATTTCCTCATCTGCAAAAAGAAGACAATGGACTAGATAATCTTTAAGGTCCCTTAAAACTTGGCCACCTTTCAGAGATATATGTCATTTTTCAGGTGATGCCAGCTCACTTGTAATGCCTTATTGCAATCATGTTAGTGTCAACGAAAAAGTCCTTCTCTACTGCCCAAGGCAGGAATGAATATATCCTTAATCTAATATTCTACCCCTGAATAATTGAGGTGATTGTATAATTAACTTTCTCTCAGAAAGCATAACCCTAATTTTTTTTACTCCATCATTCTATAAGAACAAAGAAGTATGACAATTTGTCTTTACCATGCAGGTCTCTAAGTGGATACCCATTCTTCATAAAGTTCATAAGAAGTTAGTACATGTTTTGCTTGTGGGAAAGATCTGAGAGGAACTGAGAGAGGGTACTAGCTTTAGCCTGGACAGTAACAGTTTCAAAACTTACTGGTTCTTATGTTACATCTGATATAGTTCAGGGGGTCTTCATGAAACCTTGCTACCTTCTGGGTTTTGTCAGAAACAGGATATTAATGTGTCATATACATTTAATTCAAAACTAACAAGCAGAAATAAAAACTTAGAGCTCTCTACCTCATGGCATTATTATAGTAAAATATGATAAATATCCAGTATGGTAAAGTTAGTTTTCACTTATAATATCTAGGAAAAGAACAACATGGTTTGTTAATTACACATACAATCCCCAAATTCAGCAGTTTCAACCATTTATGGAATCAAATAGATCTGGGGCAGAATCCTGAATGAATCACTTACCAGCTGGGTAGCCTTGGGCAATCTGATTAATCTGAGTCTCAAGTTCCTTCCCTATACAGCACAGATTTCTGCCTATGGCATAAAAACGAGATAATGCATACACAGTGCCTAGAATAGTAAGCACTTAGTGAATAAAAGTTACAATTCAGTGTGAGCTCCATGAAAGCAGAAAGCTTGCCTGTTTTGTTCACCTTTCTGTCTCAAGTACATAGACAAGTTGTGTAAGGGAAAGATTATTTTTTTCTCCGGCCAATAGTTTCAACTTCCTTCCATGGCTTTGTTACATTGTTCATCAAGTAGAAATCATTTAGTTTGAGTTTCACATCTTTTAACCTCCTCTGCTCATGACGAGGAATCAAGCATCTGAAAGACAAAAATCAGAGGGATAAACCCTGCATAGGTCACTGGTCCTTGGTAAATTAAAAGTTATGCGCATGAACTAAAGACAACCATGGCTCACAAGGAATGGAAGATCCCTGATCACAAAGTAGGCGCCTTTGGAAGTTGTGCTGCCTTTACAAGGGCCACTACATTGGTGAGTTTCTGCTCTGGTAAAAATTTTTCTCACAAACAAACAAGTGGATTGGGTTTTAGGGGATCCCTGTGGAGTAGGTGTGATTCAGTCTGAACCAAAAAGAGGTTCCAGATGATTCGCCCCAGGATTGGCGCTCACATTGCTTAACTTTCCTAACTGTCATTCATGTTGACCAGACTTCCTTGCTTTCTATATTGGGAAAGAATCTGCTCAGTGGTATGAAGCAACATTAGAAAACAAGGTAAACACATGTTCTCATCTTCATTCAGGGAATCCAGGCTTTGCAACATACCGGAAGAAACCTTGCAATGATCGATGATCAGAACCCTCCCAGGGGTCCTGCTGCCCCAGATGGATAATCAGTTTTGGCTCCTTTTCATATAAACCTGCTTTTAGTGTGGCAGACAGTGGTTGAGGATGAGATTGTTCCCTCCCAAACTACACCAAATCTATGCTCAGTCAGTCATCTCCTGCAAAATCAGTTAGTTCATTGGGTCACTACATGTGGCAAACACGGAACCATACAAAGAGCTTCACACTCCAAAACAAAACCAGTGCAGTCCAATCTTCCTCTAATTACAGAGAATTAATGTGGTAAAGCTAAAGCCAGTGAAAATCAAAGACTTAAAAGCAGCAGAGAGGAGACTGCCAGTGAGGGGGCCAAGCCCTGGACATGGAACTTGGTATTAATTGTTCTAAGTCCTTGATAGTACATGGTATGTGACACGAACTCGTCAAAATCACCCTGATTACCTTCCTCTTTCTCCATCCCAGCTCCTGTGAGAAAGAAGACAGTGGGCAACAGGAAACGGGAGGAGATAGTTTATAAAAAGCATTAGCACACGCAGAATGTGGGCTGAAACGTGCGCGTCTTATTCTTTGTACCCAGGGCTGAGTATACGAAGTTATGTAAGAGCTCTCAGATGATTCCAGATCTTCACTTTCATATCAGCTTGCTTGCAGCTCTTGATGAGATTTTAAGATTTTAAGAGCTAGTCTACCTAAATGCAAAAATAATAATCATGGTGTTTCTTTACATGCTAATATTACAAAAGCATCCTTCTTTATGTTGTAGAAGTCAGATAAACCACAATCAAGGTCTATCTGTGGCTTGAGGAGAAGCTGACTTGAATCTGAGATGTGAGTTTGGTTCAATTTCTAGAGCGTAATCAGATAACTTCAGAGGATCATGGAGAAGCTAATGCTGGTTCTTCTTGAGAAGTTGATGTGTACGTGTGCATAAAATGTATATTATAAGTATATCAATAGGATTCTATCTCAACAGATTTAATTCTTAAATGCTACATATACTTGTTTAATCTCCCATTTTAAAAGTAGAAAAGGTTAGATTATAACATCAGGTTAGCTCTCTTTGAAGCAGGTAATAATTAAGTTGATTCACTGTTGCAATTACTGTCAAATCCCCCTTAATTACCAGAGATTTTATAGCAGCTTCATTATACGTCTGCTGTAATGCATTGTGGCCCTAAGGAGAAGTGTTGCAGGAAATTCTGCATAGCATGGATAATTCTAACCTGCAGTTACAGCTTCCAGCAAAAGCTTCTGCACTAAATTTTTCTTTTTTTGACACTTCTCCCTGTTACCCATGTAGTTAAATGAGGTAACAATATTAAAATACCTACCTAACTTTGAAAGTTAGAATTGATTTCTCCATAGATATTAAAACAAAAAAAATAGATGAAAGATAAATTAGCCTTCCATAATTCCTGAGAAAGCATTAAATTATGTTTAATAATGAATTTAGATTATGGCATTCAAATAGATATGAGATCTATATCTAAATCAGAAATGTATCTCGTATTTTAACTTCTTGAGGATATTTCTTATATGATCAGCAAGACAAAATTATTACTGAATCCCTAGTAGATAATCTTGAAGAGAATAATCAACTGCTTTTTATTTATCAATGATTCTTCAACTAATTTCTGAGGAAAGTAATCATTTAAAATAGGTCATTTTTAGGTTTCCATATCACTGCTTGCTTTCACTGGAAAAATCTTTACAAATCAGAGCCTGTAAATTGAGTAAAGTTCAAAACAGATAACTGAATAATGCCTCTCACAGATCTTTTTTTGACCAAGGAATTTACTCCGCAGAATATATTAGATTCAGAAAGGGTTGCAGTGTCAATGACACTATTGGCAGCTGTGTTAACAGTTAAGGGCCTGGCTTTGTACAGCAATACAGTTATTAAATTTCTCCAGAGACCATGACTCATTAATCAAATATTCATACATCTCTGTAAATACACGCTGAACAGAGAATACCCTTAGAGCTGAGCATCCCAGTACAAGTGCTCTTTCATGTAACACTGACAAAATCCTGAGAACATGCGGTCATGTTTTGCATTTCTAATGCACTATGTACTCTTTAATACTCCATTTCCTAAAAACAGAACACAAATGATCTTACTGATTGCAAGTGTTAGAGGGTTACAATTAAAATTATTCCACTATTGCTTCATACCATCTTTTTTAAAAATGAGGACAGTGAATCAATTCTTCTGTTCTTTGTTTACCATCAAACAAGTAATTTTTTCCCAGGCGGATGAAGAAACCCAGGGCCATGCTCCTATTAATACAAGAATTTGTATTAGCATGAAAACAACAAATCACTACTTAAACTAGGGAGGCCAAATAACTTAACATATTAGCAGACATGAACTTGCTATATTTTGCAAAGTCCTCAGTCTGTTTTCTTCCACTGGGAGTTTTCTCCCTATTGTACAGTAACAAAAGGTCTTTCTCAATTGTGGTCTCTGGAAAATTGGGGTCTGAAGGCCAGGCAAAGAAGAGAAGGCTCAAATTGTCGCCTCATAAGGCTACTAAGAGCAGACCCTTCACCTCAGGGTGAGCAGGATGTACTATGCAAAGGGAAAAGAGGAAAGGAGCATCTTACATAAACTCCCCGTCTATTTAACAGCTTCAGAAACAATGGGAACCTGATTCTCGATGCCAGTAAAATAGAAGCAAACCTGTCAAGTGCCGTCTTGTCTCTTCTCCAACTTCTTCCAACGGCCTGTGTTTAATCCCAGTTCTCTAAATTCTGGCTACATTAGGTCAAAGGCTTCCTTTCCACAATTTTCCTTGCTTTCAGCCCCCCAGCTCAGTCGTCCTCCACTCTGTGTGCCATTTTCACCAGCTCCTACCTCTCGGTCCTTTGGAACCTCGAGATCACGATCTTTCAAGGGAAAACTCAAACAGGCTTTGGAATCAGGAGAGGTTTAAACCCCAGATCTGCAAATTAGCAACTGTGCTAACTTCGCAAGTTATCGTACCTGAAGCCTCAGTTTCCTCATCTGTAAAATGGAGATCATAAAAATAACTAATTTCCCTGGATTTGGGTGTAGATCAAACCAAATAATACATTTTTGTGAAATACTTAGAAAGTACCCAAGAAATGGCAGTGGTTGCCATTGTTATTATCACTGCAATCATTAATCCTCAATCTCGTCACATTGACTCAAACTTTTCTTTTTCTTGATGATAACTAATTCCCACTGAAACTCAACCAGCAGAGACTCTTCCTTCCACTTACATCCCTCTGATTGTGGGCGGGGGGCGCTGCATTCCCACTTCCAGGTGCTGGCTCTATCATCATTTCACACCTGCTCCTCCAGACACACATACCATCCACTTCAAGGCTCAAGATGCTCCAACTCCAGATTTCAGCCTGAATGTGCGCCTTGCGTATCATTCTCACAACCTTCTATCATTCTGTTTCTCCCATTTTCTCACTTTAAATCCTTTGGTAGTCTGGTAAAGTCAATGGACTCATTCTCAATAGAACATTTTTTAAATGTAAGTGAAATGCACATGGTTATAAAGGGAATCGTTATTAAAATATTTTTAAATGTTATATATAGTCATGTATCTGCTTCTTCAACATGCTGATAAATCCTACCATAATTTCAAGGCAGTGTAAATATTTCAAGATAACTGCATCAACTATGATATGAAAGAATTTATGATTTCTATTAGTGACTAAGTCCTAGGTACTGCTGATACTACTGAACTTTGTTGCCAACAAAGTTGGCAGGGAAAATAACTTTAGTTAGATGTTAGTGAAAATAAAGATGTAATTTTTTTCATATCCAAGTTCATGAACCCTTGAATTCTACTCATGGGCTCATCAGTTAAGAACCTCTGCATTAAATCATCTACTGCTCCTCAGCCCCATCTAAACTCCCTGAGTTCATCCACAGACCCCACAGAATTATATGGAGGGAAAACAAACTCTAAGAGTAGGGCTTGAGAAATCATCTTCCAATTTTAAATCTTCATGCTTTAAAGTTCTTCCAACTTCTATACCCTTTGTTTTTCCTTCATAGCATTCTTCCTCCTGTAGCTCTCTCCCAGGCATCTACCTACTTAAGTATAAATTTCAGCCTGAGCCTCAAGGCTCTGAGTAATATAGCTTCGACGTACATTTCATTCTTATCACTTATTCTTCTATCCGCATTATTGCAGGATGTTTATTATCAATCATCATCCCCTTACTAAATGCCACCAGTGCTCCCCGGTCAGCAGAACAACCCAAGCCAGCCACAGACACTTCAAATGTGCCCTGTGGGGATAGTCCTCCGCCCCAATCCCACTTGTAATTAGAAAACGTGTCAGTGGATCCTGTCTCTGGGTCTTTGTGTTGTTTCCTTATTAGCCCAATACCTTGTGTGTGTGTGTGTGTGTGTGTGTGTGTGTGTGTGTGTGTGTTATAGTGTGTGTGTGTGTGTGTGTGTGTGTGTGTGTGTGTGTGTGTGTATAGTCATATCAGACTTTTAGGATTCATCTCAGATGCCACCTCTTCCATGAAGACATGCCTAATTCCTATAACCAGATGTGAGCTCTCTTTA